TTTAAATGGATATCCACTTAAAAATAAGGAAATTAAGTATAGACTATTAAGGATGAAAGAAGCCTAAAGACTGGCTTTCGGATCTGGGTACAGGGAACCCCCCTGTACAGAGACCCTCCACATCTGCCAGTGCCCCATTGTCTTCGAGATCAAGGCCACTGAGAGCGTCCAAGAGGAAGACAGCACCGAAATCCTGGTCTCAAGCGCTCTCCTGTAGGGATTCCAATACCCAAAAGACGTGAACATAAGAATGGCCATACAATGTCAGAATAAAGGTCCATCTAGCCCAGTATCTTGTCTTCTGAGAGTGGCCAATGCCAGGTGCCCAAGAGGGAATGAACAGAACAGGTAATCATCAAGTGATCCATCCTCTGTCACCCATTCCCAACTTCTGGCAAACAGGCTAGGAACACCATCCCTGCCCATCCTGGCTAATAGCCATTGATGGGCCTATCCTCCATGAACCAAATGAGCCTGAGTCTCTGCTCCTTGCAACTTCTGGATGCCTACTGGTACTGAGATCAGCTTGGTCACTGACTGCTTATGTTTCTGGGAGACCTACCTCTTCTCCACCTTCAACTATCCATGAGGATGGGTTGTCACCTCTGATACAACATGTGGAAGAGCATTCTGACTCGGACTCTGAACTTTGTGTTCAAGGATCTCCAATTTATTCCAGGAGGCGTTATTCCCTGTTGCAGATGCAAGGCACCAGACCTCTACCTTCCAACAATTGGGATGACCAGCATTGGATTCCTTCCCCATGTCTTGTCTTATCTCCTTCACTGGCCTTACTGGGATCCATGGGCAATGTATTGCCAGCAATTTCAAGGGACCTCAACTCAGTCTCACTGAAAACATAGAAGACCTTGTTCCTCATTACTATCCATCCCTCTTCCCCATTGTGAGCCTGAGAAGACCTTTGAGGAGCAAGAGGACAAGAGCGGACAAAAAGATTACCCCCCTCACAAACATCTCTTTGTCATCACTGGATGAGGCAGTCATGCCACCACTGCCATCGTTAGCTGACGACTTTTGGCAATTCCAGGACCTGATGAAGTGGATTACTGACAACCTGCAAGTATCCTTGGAAGGAGTCCAGAATTCCCATCACAAGCTCCTGGACATCTTACACACCTCTGCCTCAGCATGGGTGGCACTGCCAATTAATGAAGCCCTGCTGAGCCTGCCAGTTTCATCTAGCAAACTCCAGTAATGGCCCACCCCTACATGCAAGTTGGCTGACACACACACACACACACACACACTACCCAGAAAACCCATTCTCAGCAAGCAGGTATTGGTACAGGTCCTACACTCACTCACCTGGTGGATGAATCCATCCAAAGTTTGTTCAGGAATCCCGTTCAGCCAGAATCCCCCTACAATTGTATTAACATCGGAGGCTTCTCTTTTGGGATGAGGAGCACATTTTGGTCCTCAGACAATCCAAGGCAGATGGTCACAACAGGAACAGCACTTGCACATCAATCTATTGAAGTTAAGGGCAGTCAGAAATGCTTGCCTCCACTTTCTTCCCCAGCTCAAAAACAAGTCCACCAAGATCATGACAGGCAACACAGAGTGCATGTATTATATTGATTGTCAGGACGGAGCATGTTCCTCCTCACTCTGCACCGAAGCAGTAAAGCTTTGGAACTGGTGCATAGCCAGTTGGATAGTCATCTCAGATTCTTATCTCCCAGATGTACAAAACCCCATGGTGGATGATCTGAGCAGACGTTTCTCCCTAAATTACGAATGGGAGTTGGACTCTTAGTCCTCAAAAAAAAATCTGTAGCTTGGGGTTTTCCAGAAATCAACCTTTTTGCCAGAGCAGCCAACACAAAGTGAAGGAAATTCTGTTCCAGAGTCGGGGCTCGATCCCCAATCTCTAGGAGATGTTTTCCTCATTACATGGACAAAGGGTCTTTTCTGTGCATATCCTCAACTCCATTGCTCTTGAAGGTCCTTATCAAGATCAGACTGGACCAAGCCAAAGTCACTGTCATTGCACCAACTTGGCCAAGACAAGTTTGGCTTCCTTACCTGATCAAACTCACCTCTTGCCCTCTGTGTCCCCTCTAATTTTTTCCATCCATGTGCAGAATGAATTTTATTATGTGCACCATATCTAGGTAATGTGTGGATGTGCGCCAATAGTAGAAACAAAAAACCTATATATATATATTTTTTAAAACTTGTCATAGGGATAATTACTCTAGCCAGGACAGGTTAGGCATTTTAGAACTCACTACTTAAAGAATTAAATTTAAGCATAAGAGAAAAATAAAAATTATGAAATGAATAGACCAGTCAAAACACTAAAACGCACTTTGAAAGAAGTATCAGGTAACAACAACAATAATAATACAAGTATGTGTTGGGAGGTGAGTGTGAAAAACTGTGTGTGTGTGTGTGTGACAGAGAGAGACATGCACTGCCACTTTAAGTACGCTGCCCTTTTAAGTAGATTGGCACTTAGCAATCTGAAGCCTGCTTGTTTAGACACAGCAACAGCTGCCAGCAAGCTCCCTCCATCCTGAGCCCTGTCATGTGTCCCCCCTTGGTCTGCAAAGATGGGGTACACGGGAGGGAGGATGGGGACACCCTGACATTAGCGCCCCCTCCCCCTGCTCTGCACAGCAAGCAGGAGGCTCCCAGGAGCAGCTGGCCAGGGGCTCCAAGGCAGAGGGCAGGAGCAGCGCAGCAGTGGAGAGAGGGACACCTGAAGTACCTGGCACTTGATAGCCTGCTGGGCAGCCACCCAGCTGCGCAGCTTAGAAGGAATTTAACTTGTCCTCCATTGTGGCTCCTAATCAAACCTTGACTGTTGTCTCATGATGTGGGTTAGACCCTTCATGCCAATTTGAACGTTCTGCAATTACAAGCTTGGTTCCTCAGTGGTTCTCATGACTAGAGACCACATGTTCATTGGAAGTACAAAAGATATCCTATTAAATAACAAAAAGGAATCTACTATAGCCTTTGGTTTAACTGGCATCATCTTTCTCCTATCCAGTCTTATCTTTTCTTGATCTTGGATTACCTGTTGGAACTGAAAAATTCAGGCCTTTCTGTAAGTTCCATCAAGGTTCATTAAGCAGCAATAACAGCTTTCCATGTGCCAGTAGAAGTTTTCTAAGTATTTGCTTATCTGAGTACATTGAGATTCCTAAATCTTTTCCTGCAGAGTAAAACCCCTACACTGTTTTGGGATCTCAACCTGATTCTTAACCATCTTATGAGACAGCCCTTTGAACCATTAGCTATGTGCTTTTTGCTACAACTGTCTATGAAGACAGCCGCCTTGGTGCCCATCACTTCTGCTTGAAGGTTTGGGAAAATGGGAACTCTAATGGCAGATCCTCCCTTTACCTTCTCCTTGAAGAACAAAGTATCTTTAAGACCTCATTCGAAGTTCTTATCTGAGGTGTCCTCTGAATTTCACATCAAGCAAACTATTCACCTTCCTTCCCCCACCCTCTACCCTAAGCCTCATCAGTCTACATAGCAGTCTAATTTTCATACACTAGATGTTAAGAGGAAATTAACATTTTATTTGGACAGGATTAGGCCATTCCGGAAGACCCCTAGACCAGTGGTTCTCAACCAGGGGTCCAGGGCCCTGTACGGGGCCATGAGCAAGTTTCAAGGGGTCCACTGAGCAGGAGCAGTTTTAGACTTGCTGGGGCCCAGGGCAGAAAGCATAAGCCCTGCCATGCAGGACTGAAGCCCAGGGCAAAAGCAAAAGCCTGAGCAACTTAGCTTCATGGGGGCCCCTGTGGCTTGGGGCCCCAGGCAACTGCCCTGGTTGCTACCCCTTAATGCTGGCCCTGGCTTTTATATATAGAAAACAGTTGTTGTGGCACAGGTGGGCCATGGAGTTTTTATAGCATGTTGGGAGGGGCGGGCTCAGAAGGAAAAAGGTTGAGAACCCTCTCCTTAGACTCTTCGTTTCTACTGCAGATCTAAGGGAGCCCTATCTCCACTTGGAGACTTTTTAAATGGATCTCTGGATGTATTATTGCCTATTATGGTTTTGCTGAGGTTACACCTCCCCTAAGAGTGACTGCATGCTCTACTAGATCACACTCTACATCCGTAGCTCTACTCAATACATTCTGGTTGCTGAAATCTGCAGGGCTGCAACATGGTCCTCGGTGCACACATTTTCTGACCACTTCATCCTAATTGACTCTGCAAAATCAGATGGGGCAGTAGGCACATTCAGTAATGGACTCTGTTCTGAAACTCCCATCTCCTTAACGGGCTACTGCTACGGAGTCACCTAAATTGGAGCACCCCCAGGGACACTACTTGAAGAAGATGATGGAGAGATTACTCACCTTTGCGGTCACTGGAGTTCTTCAAGATATGGTCCCTGTGGGTGCTCCGCTACCCACCCTTCTCCCCTCTGCTTCAGAGCTGCCTCTGTGGGCTTTGCCGTAGAGAAGGAACTGAGAACGATTTGTGTGCACACCCCAATATAGCCTAGGTATAGGGCACGAGGATGTGTAGGGTTCATGCCTGGGCAGAAAGGGTACTGCTACCAAAAATCTCCGATCAGAGGTGCAGGGGCACATACACACCTGAAGTGGAGCACCCACAGGGAGACACATCCGGAAAAACTCCAGTTGCTGCAGAAGGTGAGTAACCTACCATCATACGCCATTTAAAAATAACGAATACTCTGTGGTTGGTCAAGATATACATTATACCTTGTAGTTATTTACATCAATGTAAAGAGAGTATTCTGATCAGATAGCGTTTTAGACTCACTCTGCATAGGTGCAAAAGAGTAGACAATATTCAAGGCAGTGGAGAATCACACCCAAAACAATCTGGTTATATGTCCTTATATGACAGTTGGTTCAGACCTACAGTAAAAGCTAGTTAAATGAATCCTCTTTTATTACAAAAACATTTTTCATTTAACAGCTATTGTTTTAACAGGCAGATTTTGTATTTAATGAGTAAATCTGCTTCCTCCTTTCTAGTAACAATGCGTCAGTTTGATCATCCCCACATTGTGAAGTTGATTGGAGTTATTACGGAAAACCCAGTCTGGATAATCATGGAGCTCTGTACACTAGGGGAGGTATGATAAATTCCCAAGTATCTTCTTTCTTCTTCCCTCTTATCCCACAGACACTTTCATATGGGATTGGGGAACTGCTTATTCAGTCTAATGGATTGGGTTCTAAATATTACACTCTAAGGCAAATTCATCAAACAAGTGAAGTCCGGGATCAAATCCAGCCATGGTGGAATTGGGCATAACTCCACTGAAGTCGAGGGAATTAGCCTGTTTACATCAGGGTTGATTTAGGCCATGGTTCTCAGAGATACTTTGAATTGCTTCTATAGTGTGAGAACTAATGTCTGTGTCAAGTAAGAGGTGCACATGGTGATATAGAATAGAAAGAATGTTACTGTGAATTATTTAAAATGTATGTGCTTCAGACCGTGACATCTGGACACAAATGGTTCAGTTTAAAATATTGCGTAGAAGAGGTTTCACAGCTCCATTTCCTTAAATGATTATGGAGTATAGTTTAAAAAATAAGATTAAGAATATCCATTTTTTTGTTGTCTTTGTTGAGAGATACGGGAAAGCATATTATGCCCTTTTTGCTTTTTATTCCAAGAAAACTGAGTTCATTTGACTTGTCATGCAGTTACAGCACTAATAGTCATTGCTAAAGGCACCTGCCTTTCAGCTGATTTATTAATATTTAGCACTGCCTAGGTAGGACCCTCATTGGTAGCAGCCTCCTACAATAACACTTATGTGCACAGTTAATGTCATCGCAGTAATCGTAGTTTTGAATTTGTGATTATATTAGAATTTATTTAGCAAGGTTCTGTAAAGCCTTAATATGTTAGTGTGTCTGGAGGGTGACATTTTAAATAAGCTTTATAAACAACATTTGCAAAAATATGTATACCATGCTGTTTGACACTAAAGAATGCTGGAGTAGCTTGCATTATGTGACAGGTTTCAGAGTAGCAGCCATGTTAGTCTGTATTCGCAAAAAGAAAAGGAGTACTAGTGGCACCTTAGAGACTAACCAATTTATTTGAGCATAAGCTCAAATCTGATGAAGTGAGCTGTAGCTCACGAAAGCTTATGCTCAAATAAATTGGTTAGTCTCTAAGGTGCTACTAGTACTCCTTTTCTTTTTGCATTATGTGAGTGTCTCATAAGGAAAACCATAGCAGAAAGATATCACAGTGGAATCATCCACATTTCTTAGCTAATCCTGAATGGCCTTTGTTGAGGTTTGCTTGGTGCTATTGTAAGTGAGGCCATTGAGCAGGTTCAGACCTATGCAGCATTTTCATTAATACAGCACAACTATAGGTGATCTCTGCTACTTCATGAAGTTTCACCTACTGTAAGCAGTTTCTATCTGCAATTGTTTCACCTCCGGTAATGCAGTTGATAGCATCTTCAGGAGTAGGGATCTTTTCACAGTACATTGTCAATGCGCCTACATTTCTTTTTCTGAATGTCCCTTTGTTTTTAATTCTAACTAATTTTCTCTGAATCAGACATTTCTGAAAGACTTCAGAGGTGAAGTAATTACATGGTTTATAATACAATATGAAAATACCTGAATAAAATAGATTAAACTATAGTTTGTTAGATTTGTCCAAAATGGGTATCGCAATTTATTTCCATTCCTTTATTCAGAGATTCCACTTCTTCCCTTTTAGTTCCCAAATCCTCCTTCTCAGCATACAACTTTCTTCTCAATCTTTATTTTAATCCTCTAAACAAAAGCCAGTGCTACACTGTTGTGGTATAATTGCCTTTCACTAGACTTATTTTTCTAGACAATTTATGTCGTGTTTTAGTTCCTCTGAGCTAAATCCAGGCCTCTAGTAAAATCTGTGCAATTATAGGCATAAAGTAATGCTGCCCAAGAAATATTGATTTGCCCTGTGTTCAGGCTGGCCCAGGTGTGGGTACAAACCCCATGCAGTTACCTGCTGAGACGGTTCATGCCAGCAATATGAGCAGTTCCCAAGGAGTGAACATGTGGAGAGGTTCAGAAGCACCTGACCCAAGTGGGCCCAGCAGTGTTTGAACTCTTTGGCTTCAAGAGAAGACAGAAGTGGGGTGCAAAAATTGTATCCCACTTGACTACCTCTTGTCATACATTAAAGACAGCCTGAATTTAGCCCAAAGAGTGTGTGTTCTGTATGACAACTGCCTTTCTTTTCTATTCTAGTTTAAAGGGGAGGATTGTTTACTGTTAAATGTGTAAACCTCATTAGAGATTTCTCTCTCCTTTGGATTCATTTTTAATTTGTCATGACATCTCTCTCTTTTCTTCTTTTTTCCAAAAGCTGAGATCATTTTTGCAAGTAAGAAAATACAGTTTGGATCTGGCCTCTCTGATACTATATGCTTATCAGCTTAGCACAGCACTTGCCTACTTAGAGAGCAAAAGATTTGTACATAGGTAAGATTATATCTATATGAAAACTTTCAATTTAAGGAAAAGGATTCACAGATTATTAGACAAATATCTGGGCTGGCAGAGTTGCTGGATATTAGATATGTTCACTAGAGGGAAATGTTTACAGCACAGATCAACGTTCTCTAATGGTTTCAACTATTTTCTTGATTTCCCCAATAAGAAAAGTGTGTCACATGTAGAACAGTATTTTGAGACTTTTAAAAAGCCACCTGTATGTGTGTTTACATCAGCTTCATGTTAGAACTTCATGAATTTTAGAGAATCCACTACAAAACCACATTTCTGACATAGACTACCAAGGGTGACACCTGCTGGGCCTCAGCTATATTGACTTGAAGTAAGTGCCTGGTTTTAGGAAGAAGACTGTGGGTTACCAGCTGCTCTTTTGCTTTGCAATGCCGACATTTTTCAAAGCTGCAAGTCAGCTGTAATCTTCAAAATATGAAAAATCATATCTGCGAGAGCAACAGGCTCATCCTGAATTAAAGAACAGGGAAAACAGAAATGTTTCTGTAATGGAAATACCTATGTTTAACAAACAAGTGAATTTTAAAAACACATATGAGAGAGGGGAATTTTAGTTTAAGTAAGTTAGTTGTGTAGGACAAGAAACAGACCATAAGTCCTTCATCTCTGGCACTGTTAAATACTGCCAACAATTTTCTACATGCAAATTCCATGTATGCCAATTTGGACTTAAGCGTTTTATTTGTATAAGTGTATAAATTGTGTATGTTTAAGTGGCATATTATCTTGTAAATGGCCGAGGCCAGTGAGGACACAGATAGGCACTAGAATTTTGACCAAGTGGCTGTGACTTTATTAAAATCTCTATCAGCAAAAAATATGTCAAGGCAGCTGTCCTGGAAGCTGTGATTTTAATGGAAGAAAGCAGCTACCCCAAGCTGCCATTGGTTTTCACTCACCTGCTTCAGTGCTGAAAGCCAAAGCTCCTAACGTGCCCCAGGCATAACTAGCCCACTTGAATCCAAGGCCTGCAGTCCCATATAGGTAACTGAATGAGAAAACCTCCAGGCCTTGCCATGAGAACAATAGCCTCCCTGCAAATCCAAGCCCTTCCTGCAAAGAGCATGAGTTGATGCCTGCTTTACACGAAAGACATTACCCCAATTCCCGACCTCTGCGATATCAAAGACTTTCCCTTCCCCCTGCTTCCCCAACTAATTCTATTCTAGCTACTAAGACCTACCACCTAAATTTTTGATCCAGTGACTGTAAATACATGGACTCTGAAACCTGCATTTATTCAACAAATATTGTGTGCCCATGCAATGTGATAATTGCTTGTGCAAATTGCTGGTTAACAAAAGCTAGAAATAATGCTGGTCCTGAAAGTGTCTCCACCCCTTTTCCCAGAGTGATGGTGAATGCAATAATAACTTTATCACATAAAAATGTAATTACTCATAAGGGCCATATTGTGACCTCAGTCTTTCTGTAAACTTTTCACTGTCATCAGTAGGCAATCCTGTTGGGTGTCATTGGTTGTGTACAACTCTAACTTTATATTCTTGGCCCAAACACCATCATAAAAAATTTAGTTTGGTTCACTCCACTGTGTTAGTTGATACCTCTGGTCTGTAACAAAGGTTCTGTGTTTTTAAGAAAACCTGAATCTAAAAAACAGGTGACTACAAACGATAAATTTCTGGTTTGTTTGGCAGGGATATTGCTGCTAGAAATGTGCTGGTATCCTCCACAGACTGCGTGAAATTAGGAGACTTTGGTTTGTCCCGATATATGGAAGACAGTACTTACTATAAAGGTAAGGAGACTGTACTTAGTGGACCTAAACTACAGAGGCAGGTCAGTGAGCTGATTTGCCAGTCACAGGAATTGAGTGTGTGCTAAGGAGTTGAAAGGATCAAAACAATTAGTTTAAGGAAATCTGGTTAATTACATAAAAATACAAAGTAAAACAGTTTAACAGATGCCAATAAATTCACACACATAGCTGCTTAAAAAAAATCACATGGTTAAGTTAAATAGGTGAAAGACAGGAAATTCATTTATGGGTATAATTCCAGTTTGGGGGCGGCATTATACTGCTTTCTTTGCAACTCTTAGGACTTGTCTGCATGACCATTTAGTTCACAGCAAGCTGGAGTGTGAATCTGCCCCTCACTAGCCTGCCAACACTAACTGCCCATGTGGACCCTGCTGATGCACACTAAGAGTTTGTTAATGTGCTTTAATCTGCTCCCATTTCAAAGCAGAGTAGATGAAAGCCCACTAACGAACTATTAGGGTGCATCAGCAGAGTCCACCCAGATGGTTGGGTCCACAGGGACAGTTAGTGCGCAGCCAGTGCAGGGTAGATTCACACCCCAGTTTGCAGCAAACTAAATGTTCATGTAGACAAGCCCTTAAAGTATCAAATATTATCTATGGTTTTGAAACTCATTTAACAAATACCCATATTCACGCCACAGCCCAAGTACCTGAGGGTGAGTTCATGGGGACCTGCAAATTGTTTTCAGTGAGTTTGAGATAGGGACATTCATTACACACAAGGTTTGAAACATACATTTTTTTCCCTTTGGGGTTTCCAAGACTGAAGATGACTGGCTTGAACTCTGATGTGATGCCCCACAATGCATGATATATAGCAGGGGTTTTCAAACTTCAGTGCACCACGACCCACTTATGACAACAAAAATTACTTCATGACCCCAGGAGGGGGGACTGAAGCTTGAGCCCACCTGAGCTACACTGCCCCGGGTGGGGGAGGGAGCCAAAGCCCAAGCCCCACCGCTCTGGGCAGGGGGGCCAAAGCCGAAGCTCAAGAGCTTCAGCCCCAGGCAGGGGACCTGGAACCTGAGCCGCGCCACCCAGGGCTGAAGCCCTCGGGCTCTGGCTTCAGCCCTGGGCAGTGGGACTCGGGCTTCAGCCCCAGGCCCCAGCAAGTCTAAGCCAGCCCTGGGTCCTTTGGGGTCCCGATCCACAGTTTGAGAACCGCTGATGTGTAGGGACCCTGACAGGAGAATACAATTTGTTTATAGAGGGTCAAGTAAGTAGCATTTTTAGTGATAGGGTGCACATTTAGGAACAATGTTTATAATTTTTTTTCTCTCTCAATATGTAAAAATATTTTAAATGTTTCTAAATTTGCAGCATACTTTAAAAGCTCCTTACCTGGCCCCTCCCCCCATTCTCCAGTAGGGCTTCTGGTGTCTGTGATGTCCCATAATAATGTGAACAAAATACCTTCATCTACTTTCTCACAAAGGTGAAAGGAGAAATTTACGTGAAACCATCAAATATTTGTTGCACTCTTTTAAATTGAACAAACAAGCAAACTTTTTCCTGGTTCAGTTAAAAAACAGTTGCTCCGTATGTGAGATTGTATATGGCAGCTTCAAGCTTGGTACAAATAATTGCTAATTGTAGGAGTTTAAATACCTTCAGATAAAAAGCATTAACTTGAAACAGGAATGGAAAAGCTCATCCAATGTATGTACGTTTAGGGTATATCTGTGCAGCCTGTGGCAATGAGTCTGAGTCGAGGATGACAGACTCAGGCTTCTGAGGCTCATGCTACAGTTCTAAAAAGAGCCATGTAGACATTGTGGCTGGGGATGGAGCTCAGGTTCTAGAGCCCACCCCTCCCTAAGCTTCAAAGCCCAAGCCACAACATCTACACCACTGTTTTTAGCACTATAATGTTGATCGCTGTGTAGCTGTAGCCTTAGCAGCAAATCCTGCTCTTCCTTTCCAATAACAGGCGGCCCTGCCTCCAGTAAAACTACGGCGGTTCTGTTGCAATTGAGATTGCAGATTTCCATGACTCCTGTAGGCTAAGTGAGGAACCCTCTGAAATGGTGCTGGAGGAGTCTGTTCACAACACTGCAGGTCTACTAGCCATTATTTCTTCCTCACCTACTCACTCTTACAGGAAAGAATGTGCAGGAGCCAAAGGGCAAGCACAGAGGTTTCTTACACAAAGCCTGACCGAGTTGTTCGCTGGAGCTAGGACTTGGCCCTAAATTATTTTATCGAAGAACATCTACATTGAGAGCTTATTAGCTAAAATAATGGCCTTTTCCTCTCATCTCCCCATAGCTTCCAAAGGAAAATTACCTATCAAATGGATGGCTCCAGAGTCAATCAACTTCCGACGTTTTACCTCAGCTAGTGATGTGTGGATGTTTGGTAAGTGAATATGGATGGTGGTTTTCTCAGATTCACTGTTGGAGGAGAAGATAATTAATGGTTCCATTTTTATTAATGGAAACTGAACAATTTCCAGTTCCTCTCCATTGTTTGTTTAACATATCCCAAAATCAGACTTCTTACTGGGTACTTTATATCTCTCCATGCTTTTTCATTCTGTACACCATGGGCCTGATTCTCATTTATCATAAGGCCCCTTTTCACCACTCCTAACAGTTGCTCTTAAGGTAAATGAAAATGAGACCCATAGTCATAACAGGAATTTTTTTATCTTATTTTGTTTCTTTTTTGTCTTCTAGTATAGTTGTGCTGGTGTTCCTTTATCCAGCCGTTATTTGCACTTTCTGCTTTCCTATTTTCACAACTTTTTCCTCTGCTGTGGGCTCCCTTGGTGAATGTCCTTGCTTTTGTCTCCTTCCTTTCCTAGTGTTCAGTTCACCCTTGATCTGGGTATTTTTCCTCTGTTGTCTTACGCTGTTTCTAGCATTTAACATTAACTATGAAAGAGGAATTAGCAGGATATTTAAAGTGTTTTTGAACGTTTAAAAAAAGCCTGAAATTGAATTAAGGCCAGTCACCTCACAAGATTGGGCTGAGATCCAAATCTTGTCCTGGCTTTCTCTCCCTCCCACTCTTCACTCACTCCGACCATGGTTCCAACCGCTTTTGGTGCATATAAGCTCTCCTCATCCCTTTGTCTCCTGTCATCTTAGAATAGACAAGAGGTTGAGTGAAAAGAGGAATTATAGGAATGCGTGCCATCTTCCATGATCCTGTCCCCTTCACTATGCAAACCATTCCTGTTTTTGCAGTAGTCTGATCTCCCAGTCTTGAATACTCAGCTCCGCAGACCAGACAAGCTGTGACAGGCAGAGAAAAGGCAAGCAGGGTATGAATAGCAGAAAGTTACAGAGAAAAAAATCAGCTTGTTCTCTTTAAAACAAAAGAGTTCTAAGTAATATAAAGCAAAACTGTATGTGATTTATCAAGATTAATGACTGTTTAGTTGAAAAAAGGAATCTCTAATTGCAAAATAAAGTATCTTTTCCATCTGGCGTAGAACAGCAGTGCAGGTGGAGTACCCCAGCTGCTCATAGGCCCACAGGCTATCTCTTTCTCATTACACATGTAACATAGTTTCAACAGAAACTACATTTTGATACATAGTTTCGACAGAAAAAAGTTGAACAAACGCCGATAATAAAACACTGTCAAAGTATAAAAATACCACACACAAGTCAAAACAAGGCAATGGAAAATAGACACTGGGACAAGCATTATGAAAAAATGTAGATTTGAATATGAGCAACCAGTCTGACTTAGAAGAGATAAAAAGTAGTTAAATCTGAAGCCTTTCAAAGTTGTCTGCTTGCGATGAGCTAGATGCAAGTCATACTTCCCCATACTTAGACCTGATTAGTAATGCATGTAATTTTATAGACGCTACCTACTTAGAGATAGAGTTAACATAGCTCAGTATTCTTTTCTGTGGTCAGTACGTAGGTAATGTGATGATAGGTCCTATATAAAAAAGATAGATTAGCCAGCTATATTTCTCAGCCAAGAGTGGGTTCTTTTGGTGGTTGTGTGTACTGGACAAAGTGCATTGGAAACTTTGTTAAACTTCTAATACATGGTAATTACTAAACATGGCTATTCTGGAGAAAGGACTGTTCATTTTGCCCCCAGCGCTGCACTTCAGAAGCAACTCCATTGTCTTAAGCTTTAACGTGGAGTTTTTTGTTCAAGAACACAGATTTTGGTTGTTCGCTCACTTTAGGAAGTTTCTTGCTTTTTGTTTCCAGGTGTGTGTATGTGGGAAATTTTAATGCATGGAGTAAAGCCCTTCCAAGGAGTGAAGAACAATGATGTGATTGGTCGAATTGAGAATGGTGAACGGTTACCAATGCCTCCAAACTGCCCTCCTACTCTCTACAGCCTTATGACCAAGTGCTGGGCATATGACCCCAGCAGACGACCCAGGTTTACTGAACTTAAAGCACAGCTCAGGTAGGGTGGCTTTTTTTAATTATTATTTTTTTTATTAGAAATGTGATTTGATTGTGTCTTTCATACAATCATTTTCTTTCCAAGGAAAGTACAATGCCTAGTGTGCTAGGCTAGTGCCTTGAAAGGACTGAGTTGCTGTTACAATGTTGTAAATCTAGACTGTCTCCACTTAAATCAGATGAATTACACTTGACACTAAATCCAGTGTAATTGAGATCCAAACCCAGCCCCCCAAAGGCTGTATTAAGAGTGTGTTTATAGGCATAGGTAGGTATGTTAGGGGTCCTCAGAGTTAGAGGTGGAAAGAACTTGCTAGATCATATAATCCGTCTCTCTTAAGGCAGTACAGAAATTTCATGTTTCTTTTAATTACCCTGCTCACAGTTTTCAGACTTGAGTGCCTTGAGTTTGGCATCTAGGGGGGAAATTTTCAAAACTACCTAAGGAATTTTGAAGCGCAAGTTGCCCTGAAAGTCACTGGGATTTGTGCTCCTAAACCCCGAGGACCTTGAAGGTGTCCACCCTCAATACATAGGTAGGCTCCTAAATAAAAGTGGCCTGATTGTCAGAGGCACAGAAGGCCCACAGTTCAACCTGTTGAAGTCAATGGGAGCTGCTGGTGCTCAACCCCTCTGAAAATAGGTATCTGTTATTTAGGAATTTGCGGGGGGGAAATGTAATTATATGCCTAATTTTAAGGCACCCAAGTTTGAAAATTTTGGCTCCAGTTTATTAAAGATTGATATCTGCAGCTACATAACATCAGTAAGTAAAATATCCTTGAAATTAGAAGGAGACTGGAATTCTGATATGAAATCCTAGAATCTCCTCATAAGGTAGACCATTGTAGCAATCCATTATTAATGATTCTGTTATCAATAAAGCATCCAGATCTGAATGCACCAGTATTGGTGACTCTGTGGTCTTCCACAGAGTTAAACAGAAATTAGGCACAATACCAAGGAAAAACAGGTATTCCTTATGAAAAATGGGGGCAAAAAAAAGAGAGTCCAAAAAGGAATAGCTGGTGAAAAGGGGGGTAAACAGCCAATTACATACCTTCCTGAGTATGTAAGTCTTGCAGTGACTGGAAGACATTCCCAAGAGGCTTGTGTAGACATCCTCAGCTGTATCCCAGCATTTATCCCTTACATTCTTATTTAGTTCTGTCTGTATTTTTATTTGGTGTATATGTGGCGCTTGTTGGGGGCACCCAGAGTTGAGACACTTCGCTACCACCTGCCCTGAGTCTGAGGAAGCCTGATCTGTGCCTCCTGGGGGTCAGCTGTCCAACATCCATGTTATGGATTTACAATTAATGCAAATGAACATGGGTTTATGGAAAACAGAGCCTGTCAAACTAACTTGATATTTTTTTATGAGATTACTAATTGGGTTGATACAGGTGATAATGTGGATGTGTAATATACTTAAATTTTTGTATGCAGTTTGATTTGATACCACATGACATTTTGATTTAAAAAATTAAAATGGTATAAAATTAACATGGCCCATGTTAAATGGATTAGAAACTGGCTAACTGATAGGTCTCAAAATGTAATTGTAAACAAGGAATTGTCAGCAAGCAGGTGTTTCCAGTGAGAACCCTTAGGGATCAGGTTTTTGGCCTTACACTACTTAACATTTTTATCAGTGACCTGGAAGAAAACATAAAATTATCACTGATTAACCTTTGTAGATTACACAAAAATTGGAGGAGGCAAACAGTATGTGTGTTAATATGGCTAAATGTAAATGTATCATTTAGGAACAAAGAATGTAGGCCATGCATACAGAATGGAGGACTCTGTCCTGGAGAGCAATGACTCTGAAAAAAATTTGGGGGTCATGGTTGATAATCAACTGAACATGAGCTCCCCAGGTGATGCTGTGGCCAAAAGAGCTAATGTGATCCTGGGGTGCAAAAATAGGAGACCCTCTAGTAGAAGTAGAGGAATTATTTTACTTCTATGTTTGCTGCTGGTGTGACCGCTGCTGGAATACTGTGTCCCATTCTGGTGTGCACAGTTCAAGAATGATGTTCATAAATTGGAGAAGGTTCAGAGAAGCGCCAAGAGAATGATTAACGGATTTGAAAACATGCCTTATAGCAATAGACTTAAAGAGCTCAATCTATTTAGCTTAACAGAGAAGGTTAGGGGTGACTTGATTCCAGTCTATAAATATCTACATGGGGAACAAATATTTAATAATAGGGCCTTCAATCTAGCATAGAAAGGAATAAAACAATCCAGTGGCTGGAAGTTGAAGCTAGACAAATTCAAACTGGAAATAAGGTGTATATTTTTGGCGGTGCGAGTAATTAACCCTCAGACTGGAGGACAAGTGCTAGTAATAATAATAGGGCTCAGATTTTCCTAGATGCGATAGCTGATGGATTCCTTCACCAAGTAGTTGCTGAACCAACAAGAGGGGATGCCGTTTTAGCTTTGGTTTTGGTGAGTAGTGAGGACCTCAAAGAAGAAATGGTTGTAGAGGACAACCTTGGTTCAAGTGATCATGAGCTAATTCAGTTCAAACTGAATGGAAGGATAAACAAAAATAAACCTTCGACTAGGGTTTCTGATTTCAAAAGGGCTGACTTTCAAAAATTAAGGAAATTAGTTAGGGAAGTGGATTGGACTGAAGAATTTATGGATCTAAAGGCAGAGGAGGCCTGGGATTACTTCAAGTCAAAGCTGCAGAAGCTATCGGAAGCCTGCATCCAAAGAAAGGGGAAAAAATTCATAGGCAGGAGTTGTAGACCAAGCTGGATGAGCAAGCATCTCAGAGAGGTGGTTAAGAAAAAGCAGAAAGCCTACAAGGAGTAGAAGATGGGAGGGATCAGCAAGGAAAGCTAGGACCTTATTGAGGTCAGAACATGTAGGGATAAAGTGAGAAAGGATAAAAGTCAAGTAGAGTTGGACCTTGCAAAGGGAATTAAAACCAATAGTAAAAGGTTCTATAGCCATATAAATAAGAAGAAAAAAAAAAGAAGTGGGACCACTAAACACTGAGGATGGAGTAGAGGTTAAGGATAATCTAGGCATGGCCCAATATCTAAACAAATACTTTGCCTCAGTCTTTAATGAGGCTAATGAGGATCTTAGAGATAATGGTAACATGGCAAATGGGAATGAGGATATGGAAGTAGATATTACCATATCCGAGGTAGAAGCAAAACTCGAACAGCTTCATGGGACTAAATCGGGGAGGGGCCCAGATAATCTTCATCCAAGAATATTAAAGGAACTGGCACATGAAATTGCAAGCCCATTAACAAGTGTTTTTAATGAATCTGTAAACTCGGGTTGTACCGTATGACTGGAGAATTGCTAACATAGTTCCTATTTTTAAGAAAGGAAAAAAAAGTGATCCGGGTAACTACAGGCCTGTTAGTTTGACATTTGTAGTATGCAAGGTCTTGGAAAAAATTTTGAAGGAGAAAGTAGTTAAGGACATTGAGGTCAATGGTAATTGGGACAAAATACAACATGGTTTTACAAAAGGTAGATCATGCCAAACCAACCTGATCTCCTCCTTTGAGAAAGTAACAGATTTTTTAGACAAAGGAAACGCAGTGGATCTAATTTACCTAGATTTCAGTAAGGCGTTTGATACGGTGCCACATGGGGAATTATTGGAAAATAATTGGAAAATTGAAAGGTTAAATTGGAAAAGCTGGGGATCAATATGAAAATTGAAAGGTGGATAAGGAATTGGTTAAAGGGGAGACTACAGTGGGTCATACTGAAAGGTGAACTGTCAGGCTGGAGGGAGATTACCAGTGGAGTTCCTCAGGGATTGGTTTTGGGACCAATCTTATTTAATCTTTTTATTACTGACCTCGGCACAAAAAGTGGATGTGTTTGCACATGACACGAAGCTGTGTGGTATTGCCAATTCAGAAAAGGACCGGGATATCATACAGGAGGATCTGGATGACCTTGTAATCTGGAGTAATAGTAATAGGATGAAATTTAATAGTGAGAAATGTAAGGTCATGCATTTAGAGATAAATAACAAGAATTTTAGTTATAAGCTGGGGATGCATCAATTGGAAGTAACAGAAGAGGAGAAGGACCTTGGAATATTGGTTGACCACAGGATGACTATGAGCCACCAGTGTGATCTCGCCATGAAAAAAGCTAATGCGGTCTTGGGATGCATCAGGTGAGGTATTTCCAGTAGAGATAAAGAGGTGTTAGTACCATTATACAAGGCACTGGTGAGACCTCATCTGGAATACTGTGTGCAGTTGTGGTCTCCCATGTTTAAGAAGGATGAATTCAAACTGGAACGGGTACAGAGAAGGGCTACTAGGATGATCCGAGGAATGGAAAACCTGTCTTATGAAAGGAGACTCAAAGAACTTGGGTTGTTTAGCCTAACCAAAAGAAGGCTGAGGGGAGATATGATTGCTCTCTATAAATATATCAGGGGGATAAATACCATGGAGGGAGAGGAATTATTTAAGCTCAGTACCAATGTAGACACAAGAACAAATGGATATAAACTGGCCATCAGGAAGTTTAGACTTGAAATTAGATGAAGGTTTCTGACCATCAGAGGAGTGAAGTTCTGAAACAGCCTTCCAAGGGAAGCAGTGGGGGCAAAGACCTGTCTGGCTTCAAGATTAAGCTCGATAAGTTTATGGAGGAGATGGTATGATCAGATAACATGATTTTGTCAATTAATTGATCTTTAACTATTTATGTTCAATAGGCCCAATGGCCTGTGATGGGATGTTAGATGTGGTGGGTTCTGAGTTACTGCAGAGAATTCTTTCCTGGGTAACTGGCTGGTGAATCTTGCCCACATGCTCAGGGTCCAGCTGATCACCATATTTGGGGTCGGGAAGGAATTTTCCTCCAGGGCAGATTGGAAGAGGCCCTGGGGGTTTTTCGCCTTCCTCTGTAGCATGGGGCAGAGGTCACTTGCTGGAGGATTCTCTGCACCTTGAAGTCTTTAAACCATGATTTGAGGACTTCAATAGCTCA